AGAAAATTTTGATGCAAGTTGAAGATTTGAATGCAGATTTGTAAAGAGGCTGTAGCTGAGTGTGCAGAGATGCTTGCTGTTATTTGCTAACTGTCAGAAGATGGTGCGGGTTCAAATTCGGTCAGAGGCAGCACATTAAAATGGCAATAACAATTTTTCTTTTGTATCTCCGAATTATGAAAAACGCCTGTGAAGTGCACAACATAAGCGTATTCAAACGAAAAAAATCGACAACCAAAAGCTTGGTTAATGTAAACAAAAGAGTTATTAATATTACCAAATCATTGTTGAAAATATCAACCAAGACATTGTTAATCTTAACCAAAACTCACGTTGATTCCTTTTCAAGTCTGAATTTGGTAATATTAGCCAATTTTTNGTCAGAAGATGGTGCGGGTTCAAATTCGGTCAGAGGTAGCACATTAAAATGGCAATAACAATTTTTCTTTTGTATTTCCGAATTATGAAAAACGCCTGTGAAGTGCACAACATAAGCGTATTCAAACGAAAAAAATCGACAACCAAGAGCCCTTGTTAATGTAAACAAAAGAGTTATTAATATTACCAAATCATTGTTGAAAATATCAACCAAGGCATTGTTAAACTTAACCAAAAATCACGTTGATTCCTTTTCAAGTCTGAATTTGGTAATATTAGCCAATTTTTGGTTGATTTTTTCTTCTCAGTGTATATGAATAGTTGTAGGGTAGATAGCAATTAACAATCACACCATCACACACATTTAACCAGACCCACCTTCCGACGTGTATTTCGTCCCGCTGAATCCGAATCTGGAGCCCGTTTGACTCATACACCCTCAAAATTTCGAGTAAATTGGGAAAATTTGAATTTGTGCCATTTGTTACGCCGACTCCGAACAGAGATGAGGTTTCAGTAGTTCATCTAGTTCAAATCAAGAAAACTTTGAATTGGTCTCATAATTTTATTTTTTTTTTGTCATTTTAATCAATGGTTCCTAGTTTAACTCGGATTTAAACATTCTTTTTGAAGTAATGACATTAGAGAGACTATTTCCTCTTGAAATTTTGCCAAAAAATGTTGGTGAATTGGGAAAATAATAAGAATCGATGTAAATTTCAGATTTATTCAAAAAATTTTCCACATATTTACAAACATTCTTCTTTCTAGGCCAATATAAGAACTTAAGATTTGGTAAAAAAAAATAACCGAGCTAAAAATAGTTTAGTGCCGAAAATCATGTGAAAATGGTTTTTTAAGCATAAGTTAAGAATTTGAGAGTGTTAGGATAGTTTTGAAAACAGTTTCGTGAATTACTCGGCCAGCTCTATGATCTGTACTAGCTCACTTAAAACGTTCGTGCAATTTGTTTTTTATTTTGTAACAGAGTGTTGTTAGTAGGCATTCGACAGTAGGGGAAAGTCAGCTTGTACCTTACATCAGCAATTACATACAGTGACGAACAGAAGTATTGGCACAGTGCATTTTTCGCAATATGTATAATGTTTTTTGTTCTAGTTTATTTTGGATACTTTAAAAAAAAAAATTGTTCATTCTACACCAGAAAACAAAATAATAAAATCTCTAAATTTTGTGCAAAACTCGGGAAAATTCATTAAATTTGCACACAAACATAACAAGTATGACAAAGTGCAAGTTTGAAGTCTATAGAAAAACGCGCTGATTTTTGGTAATTTTTTTTTCACGCAAGTTCTTCCGTACAAAGTATATTCGACAATTTTTTGTATGGAGAAAATGAGCAATACCTTCCACTAAAAAAATTGCCAAAAATCAAGGCAATTTTCTAGCAACTTTAAACTCGCATTTTGTCATACTAAAATTGAATGGATTATAAAACTGCATCCTTAAACTTTTTTTTTTAAATCTAAATAAAAAAGTGCAAATTAGTGTGCAAATTTAATGAATTTCCATGAGTTTTGCACAAAGTTTGGAGATTTTATTTTTATGTTTTTTGGTGTAAAAGGAACTATATTTTTATAAAAAATTATCTAAAATAAATTAAAATGAAAAACTTTGCATATATTGCGAAAAATTCATTGCGCCAATACTTTTGTTCGTCACTGTATCTTCAGCAAAGCTTCAGACTCTGGTAGAATAAGGCGAAAAATGGTACGAGTAGGTCAAAAAAACTAGTTTAAATTGAAATAACATTACCTTCACCGACTGGCGTGCTTCTTATGCTGATTTTAGTTCTATCGAGAATATCTCGAGGTGGTTGGTCCAAAAAGTTGACTAAAATTTCGCCATTTAACCCGGTATAGAAACTGAAGCCTACTTTCGTGGCACCTGGGATTCAGAAATTCCAGAAATGCATCTTAATTACAGGAATTCTGTGGCAAATTGTTTACTTGACAATTGATAGTTGTAGGACCAGACTAATAAATTACTAAAAAAAAACGTTTCAGTAATTTTTCTTTAACTTTTTTCGCCTCACGTTTAATAATGAAACGTTATCTTCTCGGAGCATTCGATTACTTTTGTCTCCTATTACAAGTATACAATATGCGGGTAAATCAAAAAATTTCTTTCGGTATTTTTTTTTTTTTAAGTCAGTGTTAATGCTGATACAATATATTAAAAAGCAAAAATTATTAGTAATTATTTTTTTTTTGGGTATTTTATTACTTTGAGCTAGAAGTACCAATTATTTTCTCTTCAAAAAGGGAGGAGGTTATCAATTCGTCGAAATATTTTTTTTTATGTATGTTATCGTATAACTTTGGACCACGTTAACTGATTTCTATAATGGTGGTACCTGCGAGGTGTTTCCATACTAATTTGGTTTAGATCCGATCATTAGATCATGTAGAAAGTAACAATAGTCTTAAAATTTATATGAGCATTGAAGTCAGTTTTCTGTTTTGCTTAAAAATTACTTGTTAATATTTAGGGATTCATAAAAATCCAAATTGAGATTTAAATGTTACTTTGGCGCTGAAATTTCTCAAAAAACGGATTATACCCAAAGTATCTCGCAACGTTCCGATTTTTTTTATTTACCACAAACTCGAGAAATAAATAAAATACGATGAGCCATATCGAAAAAACTCAAAAAGTCCCGAAATATCCCAAAAACTCAATAATAGTTCCTCAAAAATTCTGAAATAATAGAGAAAAGTCCGGAATTTCCGAAATGTATGACACGAAGAATCCCAAAATTTCCCGAAAAATTTCAAAAGTTCCCGCAAAATAAAGCACATTCCGAAAAAAATCCCTAAAATTTTCCAAAAATATCTAGCATTTTTAAAAGTGAAATACGTTTGTTAAACTACATTGAGTCGTCTGTTTGATGGTTTAAAGCTTATGCTATAATTCTCTTAATTTAAAATATATATGTACATACAAAGTTACGTTTATGAACGTAATGACACGAGTATTTTTAAATGCCCAACATTGTCATTAAAAATTTAATGAAAAAAGTCCAAATAACCATCAGCGAAAAGATATTTTAAAAAAGCTCGTAACAACGCGAGTGTTTAGCCGTTTGAAATTTGTAATTCATAATAGCAAAACTTTATAGGCTAGAAAACTGCATACCCGAAAATTTTCTAAAAAACAAAACATTGGTAGAAAAGTTCGAAATTTTTTTATTTATCCAAAGTTTTGTATAAAGTTCGAAACTTTGATTTATGCTTATGTTTTTTTTTTATAGCATGAACAATGTTTTTATAAAAAAATTAGTTTAAAAACATGCATATTTAAAAAAAAGAACCCCCATGTGAACGCTTATTTGAGTCACTGTATACCCTTGCTCTCGTTGTTTTTATATTTGTACGTAACATATTCCTCATTCTTATTTATATATCGTCACCTGGGTGGAAGATTAACCTATCTCGGCAGCTAGTTCGAAAACCCTCTATCGCAAAATTTGGTTGAAGAACACCCTATCTCACTTCAAAATGTATTGAAATCGTGCTGCAATAGGGCGTTTTTCAATCGGCAGCAGAGATAGAACATTTTTGAAACGAATTCTGAAATGGGGCGTTCTTAAAAAGTTTTTTCAGTTAGGGCGGTTTCGAACTGGCTGCCGAGATAGGTCGATCTGCCACTCAGCAGTCGATATGTGCATGTACCATCTTAAATTATATACAATCGTCATTTTTGCAAAAGCCACTAAATAGCAATTTTGAATTTTTACAAAGGAAACATTTTTTACTATTGCCTGAAAGTGTTTTCAGGGCCTTTGTAAAGAAGCTAATATAGCGCATTTAAATTTTGACAAATTTATTTATAAATGGAAAAAATATATTATTATTACTTTTTGCATTGATGACATAAATATGTACATATTTATATCTGTGGCATTTTTATAAAAACAATTTATCTCGAGATAGACCATTTTGCCTTTAACGCAATATTTCTTCTAACTAGCCATAAGGGTAGTTTAAGATGCCTTTTTAATATAAGCTTAATATAAATATAAAATTATCCAAGTCAAACCTTTTCAAGTCACTTAAGTTGTTTTAATAAAATGCCACAAATATTTATTATCCTATAGTACGCGTATTTACATACAAAATTCTTTCCACATATAATTAACCAAATCAAACAATTCATTAAATGTTGCGCTTTTCGTTTTTCTTTCTTTTCTTCCTTATTTTCCATTGTCTCCTTGTTTTTTTTTTGGAACTGTTGAAATGTGTTAATTTGCGTCCTGCATCAAAACCAACAAATAATAACTACAAAAAATATACGAATCATCAAACCAATAACACGAAAAAATGAAAAATTCAATCAAAAACATTACACAAACTCTTAAATACTTAAATATCCGTAAAAACCTAATTAATTTTGCATGGCCAAATGTTAAACGTAAATTTGTTTTTTATAAAACTATTAACGCACGCCCAATTAAAAAAAAAAACTACATAAATTACTTTTACAAACACGTAAAAATCTTAAATTCAATTGCAAACATTTATTAAATAAAAACTTTTAAAATTATTAAATACAATAAAACGCAAAAACGACTCAAAAAAAACACATTTGCAAATATCTAGTTGGCCTCATATCCACACCAACCAATTTTTGTCAATTTAAAGAGCCCCCACTGCTGGGACCCGGTGCTGCTTTTCCACAATTTGGCGCAGCTGAATTCCATCCCACCACACCGGAGAATTGGAAGGGCGCAACCATACATACGACCGGACTGATGAAGGAGCCAGCTGTAGTGCCGGGACGCAATGCACCGGTCGCATTCGCCGCACAGGGACAAGGACAGGTGAGTCGTTGTAGCATCGAATGCACTCCTTTACTATTCTTATGTGTGTGCATATATTTCAGTATGCATATGTATGTAGTTGTAAACGTTAAAATACTGTCATTTGCTGTCGATTTTGTCAGGCGTGTTGCGTATGTATCTCGTTGTTGGGGTTGCGTATACGCACTGGCGCACACACGATTGCACTGGCACAATCTGCAGCAACGAGGCAGAAAATCGGTAATGCAAGTGAGTGTGCATATCGTTGTTTATAGTACAAAACCGCGTATCGTTATTCTGAAAAACCGCGTAACTGACATTTGCTGCCAAAAATTGAATTTGCTCTCACAAGCTCTTGGCTCAATCCTCATCCATTCGTCCTGAAATATACTAGTCAGAAATGCGATTGCTTTATAAAAAAGAGAACCATTTTGAAATATGAGTATTTTTACTCTCTAGAAAATTATTTATGCAACCTCACATACGCGGTTTTGCATTATCTTGCATTTTGTTGATACGCGGTGTTGTACTTTAAACGACGATATGCGTGGACCTAAATATACAACATAATTACACCCTTATGCTTACGCTCGCTTGCAATACTTTCTTCATACTTTATGCATATGTATTTACTAGCATTACAGTACTATTTTATACATATTTATTCGTATTCAATCGTACATACAAACGCATATACATATACCATTGCATATTTTAATATACTCTTTCATTTCTTCTTCACAATATTTGCAATTAATTAACTAATTAATTAATCAATTTGAAAATAAAACCCGTTGGCCGTTTGTAGTTTATATACATTTATGGATTTTAACTTTAGGAAATTATACCTTCTCTCCAGGGTGCTGTCATGATGGTTTATGGCTTGGATCACGACACATCGAATACAGATAAATTATTCAATTTGGTCTGCTTATACGGCAATGTTGCAAGGGTAAGTCAGAAAATTTAAAAACCACTTTAGCCACAACAATTTATTTTACTTTACAGCATATAAATAAAATAAATTGGGGCATATGTATAATGAACATTTACCATAAATTGTAAATTAAGTGATTGCGTTGGATGAGAGGAAAATATGTATGTAGCAAAAACCTAACTCTGTTATAAAGCACATTTATTCACATGAAATTATTCATTGGAAATCGAAAAGTGCTTGTGGAAGAATCATTTAAATATTATTATTGCAATGACTACATTCAAAATTAACAAATTTTTTCGTAAATACCACCTAGCATTCATTCATTATACAATACTCGCAAATGCAATTCATTGTAAATACTTCAACGGCGTTGATTATCTTATTTGATGCTTAAATCAAAAGCTATGCGTCAAAAGGTCCCTTAGGTATTTATTGTCACTGAATTTATTAATGAAACGTTCAATAAAAAAT